TTTTATTTACACGAGTTCAACAGCAAATTTAGCAGCTAAAGCTCAATGCATTCCCTCTAAAAAAAAACACTCACAAATTCAACTACCACAGCCATCCTCCACCTAACACTTCTTACAAACAGAAGAATCAATTAAAAGGTTTTAATCAAAATTTTTACAAATAACCATTTTTTCTGAATGTTCCTACAGCAACTATTTGTGTTAGTTTTAAATTCTTGCAACTTGTAACGTGATGTGCAAAATATTTTAAAATATCATACACACACACAAATTTACATACAAATATTTATATGTTTCAATGTCATACCAAACAAGCAGAAAACCCACAAAAATATATACACACATATACCATATACGAGTGTCATACATACATATATCAGTGTAATGTGTACCTTATTAATACATACATAAATATTAACAAACAAAAAAAACGTTAACTTCGAAAAATCTATGTGCAAAGTCATATATCTATTTACAATGTATTATTATTAACTACTATCAAACATACCAGCATATTTACATACATACAAGAAACAAGCGAAGTAATTATGTACATTTAAATACTATATCCACTTATACCTATATGTATACATATATTTACATTTTGAAAATAATCTTGTATTATGTACTATGTATATTATGAATTTACCACATCAGATGCATTCCAAGCTAAAGCGAAAATTAATATATATAAAACTAAGCCAAACCAAGATTAAAAATCATTCGAAATACATTTCTACTTTAACTAGTCGTGTGTGTATATATGTACATATTTTACCTGCATAACTACTTAAATATTGTTGTGACAACAAAGCTTATTAGCGCGAAATAAACTAATTGATAAATTACATCACAAAGCACAAAGTAAAAGTTTTTGTAGGCGAAAACACAGCTTACACTAAATGCGCGAAACATACTATTCATATGCTTAGGAAGGTTTCACGCGCTTTTGCAGGTTGTCACTTAGATTAGTGAGCTTTCACTTGAAATTGTATGCTTTCACATTACATAAAGTGGCGAGGTTTACCTAAAACTTAAGAGCTTTCACATAAATTTCCCAGCTTCTGCACTCCTAATAGAGCTTTCACTTATGAGGGTGAGCTTTCACCACACAATCCTCGTTGTGAAATTTTATATGCAAGTGGAAGCTTTCACTAAAAATTGTAAATGTAAATTTCGCATGCTAACATACATTTGCAAGCCTCTGTTTAGAAGAGTGCGCTTTCAGTATAAGTTGTGAGCTTTCACATGCCATGAAATGACAGATTTTAACTGTAGCGGAAGCTTTAACACGAACACCGATGTTAAGATTCATATGCAAGTGGGAGCTTTCATTTGAGTAAGCTTTACCAAAATTGTAAGCTTTTACAAACACTTCAAAGCTTTCACTTAAATATTTAAGATTTCACCAACAATTGAGATCCTTCAATCGAAATAGCGATGTTCAATACATAGCTTTTAGCTTACCATTACTAAGTGTGAGCTTTCGCTAATAAGCGCAAATCACCCGAATCTTTTATTCATCCATCATTTAGCATATATTTGCACACTTATGGCTCATAAGTTTATATAATGCTTTACACATATACATACATGTGTAGGTACACATATACTAACGCCCAATACATACACAATTTACTTCTTAGTCATAATTCAAAAGCTAAATTTTCCAACGCTTTGTTGCACATTTCAAAATCTCATTATTTGCAAAATTTCGAAATTATACAATTTTACTTAACTTATCTTCGGGGGCTGCTAAAAATTGTAGAATTTTGCAAATTTGTTATTTTGAATGAAAAAAATATATATATGTATAATAAAACAGCACAGGCTTTCATAAGTTAAAAGAAAATTCAAATAAACCTGAAAGGAAGAATTAAAAAAAAAAATTTTTTAAATGTTAAAAAATAAAAAAATTGCAGGCGAAAAAAATTTGAGAAATTTGAATGCGAATTTTTTGCAGTTTAATAATATATAAGAAAAATAATTTATTTGAAAATTTTAGATATAATCAACAAACATCTTAAAATATTCAACAATATATAAAAATCAGTAAAAAAAAGAGCGCTGGCTAAGATAACCAGTTTACTTAACCGGTAAAAGTAAACATGGTTATAATAACCAGTTAATGGTTGCCATAATTAGTACTGCGGTATGACCAACTGATGTCTACAGAAAAGAGTTACAGCTAAAAAGTGGCTGCTTAACAGCTTGCTAGTTATGGTAACCAATAAAAGGCGATGTTGTTGATTTCGTGCTTTGAAAGCTTTCACCGAGCTTTCAAACGTTTTTCCAAAGCGCACAATTTTTAAAGAAGTTTTAAAGACGCGCACAAAGTTTCTAGTTCAAATACTTAAAAGGGATAGAAAACAGAGAAGGTGATAGAAAAACGGTGAATAACGGTGAAAAACGAAAACCGACATAAAAGGTAAGAGACAGACCAAATAGTAAGAAACAGAAAAAGCACCATAAACAACTATTCAAAGACAAGTCTATTCATGTGAGATTAAGAACAGTTAAAAAGTCTTAAAGCGCACATATATATTTTTTTTTAAGACAAACAACAGTCACGCACAAGAAAATAAAAGAACACATTTCAAACCATTTGAGAAATAAAAATATGCATACAAGTTTCTCGAGAACAGTTTACTTTCAGGCCAGCAGCCAGAATTGGCAAGCATTCTAGTAAAATGTATTAAATATTTGAGATCTCACTACTACGAATATCAACAAAAAAATTTTTAATTTTCATCCGTAAACAATCCTCGACTTAAGTTATGACTTATTACTTTGAGTTTTTACTCGGAATTGTGAACTTTCACACAATATAGGCTAAAACGGAAAGCTTGCACACACATCTAGGGCTTGTTTACACTCGAAAGTGAGCTTTCGCACAATTTGCCGATGTGAGCTTTCACATGTAAATGAGAGCTTTGACTTAATTTTTTGCTCTCAATGTTGCTGATGTGAGGTTTCACGAGCACATGAGAGCTTTCAATTCAGACTTTTAGTCGTCGCATACATTGTGAAAATATATATTCTTTTAGCGGGCCTATTAAACCCATGTTTGAGTAAGCGGCCTCAATTATGAGTTCTGATTTTATTTCGAGGATTTTTTATTTGATTTCCAACTTTTTAATAACAATAAATATTTATTTTAAAAAACTATCGTACACTGAAATATATCATCTCATGCTTCCACAGAACACACTCAGTCACATAAAGAATGGTACAAAAACTGTAAAAACACCTCATACACATCGCACGCTTAAAACGCTTCTGTCGCGCAAAATGTCTTTTCACACTTATTTCATAAAGAAAAAAGATGTCATCATCTTGTTGACAGAAGATCCACAGAAACACGTTTCCAAAACACAAGCGCACTAACCTAAAACTAAGAGGATCCAGAAGGGGTTCTAAACGTCGAATAAAACATTAAAGACCATTAAAATCGAAAAAGGCAGACAAATAGAATTGAATAAAAATATGAAAACAGTACAAATTACAACAAAAAAGTCGCTTCATGCTAAGGCAGTTTAAAAGACTGCAGCGCAAAAAGTACGAAGAAAAATTTCCGAAATTTCCAAAAAAAAATAAAAAAAATATAGGAAGTGTATTTAATTGGCATTTGACAGTTCAATTCAGTTGGAGAAACACAAAATCGGATACTATTTTCAAAATCAAAATGTAATTAAGTGCGACTAAGACAACAACAGCAACAAAAAAGAAGAACATTGCGCATTTCATTGCAAACAACAACAAGAAAAATATAAAAAAATATTTGCATGCATATACATAATATTAACACATTTCCACAGCACAAAAAAGCGGAAACCAACGCCGATAAAGAACAGCCAATAAATTTGAAAACACGGCAGTAATTTTTCAAACATTAAGAAATTTCAGATCGAAAAAAAAATCAATTCATTGAATTCGTACATACAAAAGTGCATCTATGTGCATAAAAGTATATAAGTATAAAGAACAAATATTATTTCAAGGCGCGTAGTAAGCTGGCGTGTTCGAAACGGGCTAAATTTGGTAGGCAAGAAGCAAGCAAATATTTTTTTTTTTTTTTTGTTATAATAACTACTTGTAACTTTAAGAAAAACATGAAAATAAATATATATATTTTTTTTTGAAAATCAATGTTTAAAAAGTAGCATAAAATTTACAATTCAATTAAAAAACGTAACATTTGTATTGCATCACCCTGCTTTTGTAAACTATATGCATAGCAAAATTTTAATGGCAATTT